CCCCCACTTCCAAACACCCGGGCCCCTTCTGGTATCTGCTGGCGCGTTTTTGGCGGGTGGGCGGGAGGCGAGGCGGAGGGCTCGAGAGCGCGAGTGTTGGAACCAGCGGGGACGCGGGATCCCGTCATTGTTCCAGGAGGTCTCTGCCTCTGAGCGGGTTGGGGCGGGGGTACTGATCCCAGGAAGGAGCGCACGGGCGATGCCCCGGACCTAGGCGGCGCCGGGATGAGCGGGCAGTGGGGGCGCATTGTGTCCCCACCTGCTGATGCGCGGGCGGCTGCCGGCCCTCGCTCCTCGGGCCTCCTCTTTATCTGAGGACCATTTCGGAGCGGCAGTGATTTCGAAAAGAGTTGTTGATATTCGCCAGGGCTGCCGCCTTTTCTCCGAATGTGACCAGGATCGCTGCCCCGCAGAAAAATGGTGCTACAGAGAAATGTTCTAATAATGTGTCTCGATGTCAATTATTTTATGCATTAAAAACAATCAAAACACTAGGGGAAAGATGCTGAGATGAGAATACTCTGACAATTGCATAACATCCTAAAAATTACTCCTTTTCTTGAACAACAACATGTCCCTTTGTCCTTGTTCTGGAAGAGGCAGCTGCCTTTGGTTTTCCTGTGCGCTTCACTTTCTGGTTTATCTTGGGCTATATATGAACTGAACATTAAAAAACAAATCTGTCCAACATTCTTTTTAGCACCTATTGTCATCCCAGCTATCGCTAGGTATAGGAGTCCCTAGAAATAGAAAACGAACATTCAAGGGGTATTTTTTTCTTTAAAACAGAGTCAAGAGAAAGATTTTAAAATGTTGGTATGAAAAGATGCTTTTCACCCATCAGACTGGCATGAGGGTGCGTTTATATTTCGTCTTTTTTTCCCAACTACTAAATTAATTTATATGCAGAACGTGTATGTAACACTGCATTGTTTTTCTTAAAATGTTTAGGGGAACATTGAGACGAATATATCGGAAATAGTTCACTGTGGCTCTCTCGGGGCGTAGGCTATGGGAGACTTCCAGGGAAGTGTATCGGATATTGTAATGTTTGGATTGTTTATGATAAGCATTATTTGTATATTCAGAAAAAATTTAAATACATTAACTTGTAAAGAAACATCAAAAAGCATTCGATCTTAATCAAATATGTGAGAATTACAACTGCTGGGAGCTGTTTTTCTAGTAGTTAGTACTGGAGAAGATATCGTGAAATGTTCTCTCCTTCATTATTGGTACGAATGTTCAAGTAATTAAGTGTTATTTACCCAATCTTAATGTTCAATTATGGGCTCAGCTCATAATAAGTTTTAAAGGATTAAAATTATAGTGTATAGACACAGTTACATAATAGGTCATATGTGTATAAAAATACTGGCGGGGAATATAGCAGTATTATCAGAGCCTTTGTTACTTTCTCAGAAGCTGTTCCGGACCCCCAGACTCCACCGGGTACCCAGTACCACTTTTTCATAGCAGCCCATACCATCGTTATCACCACCATAAGTAAATATTATCGGGGTCCTTTGCTTGGTGGCTGCCTGAGGTAGAAAGGGGCAGGAACCATGTCTGGTATACCTCATGCTCTCTCCTGGGTGCCTGGGCGTCGAACAATTTTTAGTAAGTTTCCGACAGGGCCAGTTGGTGGCGGGATCCCACATGACCTACTGTGCACTTCAAGTCTGGAACCCAGGGACTTGAAACACATGCCGGCCGTGCATACATGCGTGCCCAAAATCCCAAGAGGAGAAGGGATTGCGGCATGGCCATCCTCCCTGGGGGGTGCTTTCTCACTTCTCTATTTCTTTGTGTCTGGGGAGTGCAAGCACCCTGTAGCTAATAATAATAATTATTATTTGATATATAAATAAAAATGTCTGGATAGTGGGATCAGAAACCTCTCCTCTCTTGCCCACATTTTCTTTTTTGGAATATTTTATTTTGCAATTTAATAAAATTTAAGAAATAGAGGGAAAGGGTTCATGGGTAAGGAAGGCAATGAATCCATTTATTTTTTAAATAGAATTATTTTAATTTGGGGCCAGCAGTTGGCATAATGTCACTGGACTCCCATGTAGTAGACCACAGTTCAAGTACCAGACCCGGTGGCTTAAACTCATGCCAAGCACATAAGTGTGCATGCCCAAGATCCCGAGAGGAGAATGGATTGTAGTGTGCCCATTCCCCCTGGGGGGTGATTTCTCACTTTCTGTCTCTCTGTCTCTCTCTGTCTTTCTGGGGAGTATACGCCCTATAGCAAAAACCTCTCAAAAAATTATTTTAATTTTATTCATCATCATCATTATTATTTTAAATTTGACCAGAGAGAGACCAAGGGGGAGAGGGAGAGGCATAGTGAGAAAGGAAGCCACCAGGTCCGGGACTCAAACTGCAGTTGGCCATGTGAGAGTCCAGTGCCCCAACCACCATGCCACCTGCCTGCCCCCGAGTCCGTTCTTATATAAAATCGGCAAGGCCTCCTTTTTTAGTTGTCACGTAAAAAAGACTTTTGTCCCAAGACTTTTACCCTTTCATTAGTCTTGCTTCCAACAACAGAGAGGGAAGGCCTGAGCTGTGCCGTAAGGCCCCCGCCTGCCTGTCAGGAAATTTTACCCTTCCAATTTTCGTGTCTTGCAGCGAGTACCAGGGCCTGGTGAAGCACACGGGGGGCTGCCACTGCGGAGCAGTTCGTTTCGAAGTCTGGGCCTCAGCCGACCTGCACATCTTTGACTGCAAGTAAGTACTTTCTCTTGTGACGTTGGTTTAAAAGAATTTAAGAGCTAAAATGCAAGGCCTCACAATAATCTGGGGAGGTGGGGTAGAGATGAGACAGCATTGGCTGAGAGCTGATAATTTTCGAAGTCAGATGTTGGGTACATAAGGGTTCATTGTTCTTCTCTTTCTCCTCTTGGATGGCTTGAAAATTCTTTTTATTTATTTATTTTTATTTTTTTATTCTCAACATAACACTTTCTTATTACAGTTCCTTGCTGTGGATCCTCCTTTCAGAAACTAGAAATCATCTTTTTATTAAGTTATGGTTCCCTCCCCTTGCCTCAGTTTAGGGACAGTTTAAGATTTTAATTTTTTTAAAGAATTATTTAATTTAATTTAACTTATTATTATTTTTAAATTTGTTATATGGCATATACACTCACCAGAGAGAAACAGAGAGAGGGAAAGTGAGAAAGCAAGCTGCCAGGACTGGAACTTGATACACAGTTAGCCAGGTGGGAGTTCAGTGCCTTAACCACCATGCCACTTGTTGGTCCCTAGTTTAAGAAAGCCTAATGTTTATATAATTTATGATGAAATTAGTTTTTTATTGTTCATGAATGCATTGCAATTTACTGTTCATTAAGCTCCAAACTGGGTTATAATGCATGACTTTTAAAAATAAAATGACATCTTTTATTTATTTTTTTAAGAGGTTTTTGTCATAGGGCATGCACACTTGCCAGAGAGAGACAGAGACAGAAGGAAAGTGAGAAGTCATACCCACCCCAGGGGATGGCCACGCCGCAATCCCTGCTCCTCCATTCTCCTCCCAGGATCTTGGACACACATGCACATGTGCCCAGCGTGACTGTCAAGCCACTGGGTCTGGGAGTACTGGGCCATATAGGAGTTCAGTGATGTAACCACTATACCACCAGCTGACCCCAGAATGACATCTTTTAACATAGCCTATTTTGGGGGCCGGCAGGTGGTGTGGTGGTTAAGGGTGCTGGATTCCCACATGGCTGACCACGGTTCAAGTCCCAGATCTGGCAGCTTTCCTT